CCCGTTTGGGGAGGGGGCCCAGGGGGCAGGGGGACGAGGACAAAATCTTCGGAGGATAAACCGAGAATCTCTGAGATCCTGCGGCTCTGGGGGATGTCTCGGGCGCCGCGGTCTTCTCAGAGCGTTCCAGAACGCTCTTGAACGGATTCACCCTCGTCCTAGCCCCGTCCCAGATCGGATAGACACTCAGGAGCCGCCCCAGGCAAGAGTGACCTTTGGTGCGCGGCTTGAGACTGCGGGGGGGAGGGAGGCATACCCAAGCGCGCAAACCAATGTCGGGGGGGTAGTCCTCTTGTCCGTTCTCCTTTTCCCTGCGGCTCCTCTTTTGAACTGCAGCGCGTTCCGGCAGGCGTGCTCAGGAATGCGCGGCGAAGTTTCAGGTTTCGCGGTGAAGCGGATCGGATTGGGTCGACTGGACTCTGTGAGAAGTATCCCAGAGTACCCGACGGCGGAGATCGTCCAGGGTTGCCTCCAGGACGACCAGGATGATATCGAGCTGCAGCGCGTTCCGGCGGGCATATTCCAGAACACGCTGGGTGTCAGCAGCTACCGCGTCCAGGACAGCTTCCGAATCGAAGCGCTGCAGGGCCTCCTCGGGGGCTGGGCTCTATGGGCCTCTTGAGGCCGTGTTGGTGGCCTCTCAGGCGTCTCTGGGGCTTCTTGGGGCTTCTTGGACTGTCCTAGGGCGCTCGTGGCCCGTCTAACGCCTTGGGCGGCGATCTTGGGGGACGCTCTGTGCCGTCGTGAGGCCCTCTAAGGGCCCTCTTGGGAGGTTCTTGGGCGTTGTTGGGGCCGTCTTGGGGCTCTCTAAGGGTTGGGGCTCTCTGGGGACATTAGGACGCCTTCTAGAGGCCTGAGAAGCCCATCGGAAACAAGACATTGAAAACTTCAAAACGTAAGGTGCCTCCTGGGAATCTCTCGGAAGATGATTGGCGGCCTCTCTTGGCCTCTTGGATGCATCTTGGGAGCCATTTCTGAGCCGACATGGTGCCTCGGACAGTCATGAGGAGTGAGCGTGAAGCACGGACCATACCTATGGATCTCCCTCAGAATCTTGCGAGGATGTTGTCGTTTGGAACGCTCTTGGGAGCCTGTTGGGGGGGCTCTTGGAGGCATCTTGGGGGCACTTCAAGGCTTCAGGTGACCTTGTGGGGCCTGTTGAGGACGTGTGGGGGCCTTATGGGTTATGGGGCTATCTTGGGGACATCTCGTGGGCTTTGCAAGGCCTGTTGGATGCCTCCATCGCGGGGCCTCTTGGGAGCATATTGGGGCCTTCTTGGAGGCGCCATGGGGCCTCTTGGAGTCTCCTAGAAACGTTTTATTCGCAGATGTCGAGCTCCCGCCACTCTTCCCCGGGGAGGACTGATGGCTCAGACGCCTCTGCATATCGGAACTTGTAGCCGTAGGCAGCAT